CCTTCGTTGCAAATGTGTCATCCGTTTAGACGAGCGAATTGCAAAAAAAATCTTTTACCATTGTATGTGTCCACCGGTTCACGATGACTATAGCTGAGGGACAAACAATGATTCATCTAATGGGTCTCTGGAGATGAATAGCATGAGATGGCACTGGTATATTTTGTATTATTGACGACAATGTCCATAACAATTTACGATGTGATGAACACTGCCATCCGTTGTAATATTAGCGTTATTGTTATAAATATACACTGGTATTAAAAATAATCAATGGTCGAGTAACACATTTACAGTAAATGATCTAGATTTTAAAGTAGAAAAAATAATCAGTGTTTTTTTGATCAACTGATCAGCAAATTTCGCCAATCAGTGAATATGAATGATAACTGAAAAAATTAAACTACAATAAATTATGAATCAAGGATCGATACTCAAGTAGATGACAAAGTCTCATGTGAAAAATGTGATAAACAAATAACATAATTAAAACCTATAAAAAATTGTTGAGTATTAACAAGACCTGACACATTTAATTTATTATGTGCTTGGATACACCTACGTTTTATTCCTGTTTATCCTTTGAGATCACACCTATTCTATTTTTGAGGATTTGAGTAGGTTTTTCTTGAAACAAACGATACGACCTACTATATAATGTGTATACAAACCAATCAAAAGTAGAAATAAACGAATTAGGTAAGTGGTAATATAAGTTTGTCTTGTGATAAACTGCCACTCTAAATGTTCTGTACTTAAAAGCCCACATTTTCTTTAAAATACAGCTTTCAACTGACACAATCTTATAGTTTTATATATACCTTTATGCTCACTTTTTACTTATGGTTGGTTTAACCAAACATCCATTTTATGAACTTTCCATCCATAAAGAATTCACATTGCAATACTTATCGTGTAACACGTGTTTTTCTAAATAAAAATGTGAATTGGGTTACTTGCGACTGATAAATGGAATTTTGAGCTTACGTTTACCCTAGAGAATAAAACTAAATTAACTTTTCAATATCGAAAACGAAAATAAAAATGCTGAAGTATTATTCTTAGATTCGTTGAATTAAAATGTTTTTATTTGGGAAATTGTTTTTACTCCTTACGATTTGAATTATTACATGCATTCGTCTATTTATGAACAATAATATTGTCTTCCAAACCAACAAACACAATGAATTAATATTCAGACCGTTTCTGCATAATTTTGTGATTCTGAAAAACAAAGACACTTGCTGTTATAAATGTAATATCATTTGTATAAAGAGTATATCCTAGAAGTAATCTTACACTATCGAAATCAGTATGCATTTTACTTAGTATAGTGTAACTATTACAGCTCCAACCAGCAATATTTCATTAATAAGTAATTAATATATATATATATATATATAAATATAGAAAATTAAAATTTTTAGCTATTTTTTATACTAAAATAGTAAAATATAAATTTCATTTATATGTATATTTTTTGAAATAACTGTCGAAATTGTTATTGTAAGGTATAACGATATGCATACGTTTAAAAACAACCCAAAATAATCTGTCAATTGTTGAATCAATACAATACCATGACACTGAAGTAGAAACTAAAAATTTACATAATATAACAATAAATTTTATGCATAATATATTTTATTATTCCATTCAAAATAAAACATATTTCTTATTTGTAATGAAAGCAGGTTCATAATTTTTCGATTATTTGTCGTACCTAGTACCTATAAAGTCTATAAAATAACCTGTGATTGTGATATGACAATGTATTATATTTGTGTATTCATTTACTTACAGTATTTTTTACGAGGGTTACTACTTGCTTTTGTGCAAATCAATCATACTGTAAGTATATATTTAAACATATGTATAAATAAACATTGCTAAAATTTTGGGCGTATTAAGTAGGAACGCCTCCTCTTGAAACTGTCGAATATTAAACAGAAAAAAAGAAGGTAGGAACTTTTTTATTCTTAGTATTCTCTGTGGGACTCTGTAAAATATAAATAATACTGTGTTTAACATATAAATATATATATAATGAATTTTGTTATATTATATCTAACATTTTTTATATTACTCTGAAATAGTTGCTAAAATACTTATTGAAATAATATTTATTTAATGTCAGTTAATTAGCTAATGGGGCCTAAGTAGATCTGTCCATGACGATGTTTAGTAATTCAATTTCCGGTCAAAAATATGTTCTAATAGTACTATAATATATAAACTGGAATGATGAGACTGCTTTTATTTAAAGCTTCCACTAATTACCAATTAAAGCGTCTAGTGTATATTGCGTCAAAGTAATCTAACGAGTTGAATATCATATATCTGACTTAAAGTCCATTAATACAAAATTAAGGTATTCAATTGTTGTATATATTTATGTAGTATAATTCGTGTTATTTTTGGACTAATAAGCTGTAAACAATTTTTATCAATATTGCCAAGACTAGAAGTTAAACATCAAAACTATAACTATGTACAGATTTCAAAATATACATTTTTTAAACACACTGTTATTGGTAATTTTTAGAAGTACCTAATCGAATACTTCAGATCATATTACTCTTAAGATAAAATGCAAAAATCAAACAGAATAATTAACTAATCGGCACGTGTATACTTTAATTTGAATATTATATAATTTGTTGTCTTGGGTTGGACATTTTTCCCACTTCAAAAACCGGACTCGCTCACAATTATTTTTACTTGTCACACTACTGTTTGCGTTTCAGAAGCGGATTGTCGAGGTTAACATTTTTTCTTTCTTTTTAGCATTTTGTCACGCCGCCACTACCAATTTTCTCGCCCGCCAAAGCTCCGCGTCCAGTTCACTACAAATGCAGAAAGACTATGTGCGACCAATAGAATGCTGTTTGATAGCATCCGGTTTTTGCAATGTGCTATCGAAGTCATGGAAGTTACGGCCGATACGCGGTGCTGCATAAAACATCAATCAAGAGACGGGAATTTTATTGCCGCCACCAGTGTCTTATGTATGTTAAACGAATTTCCACAATACTCTCGCTCGCTTGGGTAAGTATGTACAGACAATAATAGTAACAGTTATAACTATATGGTCCAACAAAGGCCGCAACCAAGTGTCGGCGGCGGACACTTTACTGTTTTATATATGGTCTTCATGATCTGACTACTGATAGAAACGATGCATGTATGTACTTTTACAGGATTAGTATTTTTTTTTTTTTATTACAATATCCAAGTTCTACGAGGCTAACGTGTTGAAATTGCGGTTGGTTTTCACATTATTGCTATAGTTTTTTCCATTACATTTTTAGTTCTATTGCGACCGCTTAAGATTACTCTGCGGTGGTCCGCAAAATTCGTTTCGGTAGCTAATATGATCTTAAAAAAGAAAAGAAATAATAGAGCCTAGGAAAAAATTGTCCTTTTTCCCCGATAAATATTATGGACGCTAATGATAGTGCGGAAACAACGACGGGGGTTGGGTTTTTGAATAAACGGAATGAAAGAAAACCGTCCCCGGAAATGTATTGCCACCCGCTAGGTGTAAAAAATAATATAAATAGTATTCACTAAAAAAAGCAAAGACCGTCATTAACGACTCACATAGGAAATAGTATTGGACAAGAAACACTTGAACGATACGTTCTGGTCCCTTCTACTTCCATGTCATTATTACGCCATTGTATTGCATCACACAGTACACATAATATAAAAGCGAGTAGCAGTCCCAATTCAAATACAACAGAATTGACATCAATTTTTTGTACTCATCACATTGAAAATAAAAAAACCAACATGTGTAACATGTGAGGCCATTAAATGAAGGGCACTTTAATAAATGCCAGTAAAAAACTAACCCAAATCAAATGATTCAAAATTGTTCACTTCTCGGTTTAAAAATGATCAAAAAAAATTATTATATAGGCAGATTCTATGCGAAAAATACAAACTACTTATGATTTCTATGTCAATATTAAATTATAAGTAATATTGTTATAACCAATTTTAATAAATATAAACATTTTTTAAGAATATTTTGAAGGTTATACCATATTGGCATTTAAATAATTTTTTTTAATAAAAAATATACATGTTTAAATAAATTACGAAACATCATCAAATTGAACGGATCCTAAAATATATTCTGTAGTAAAATATATACACAGTGCTCAACTATCAAAATTATTGATTCCTTGGAATAATATTTTAAATTGAATTTTTTCATTTATGTGCATAAATAATAATGTAACGTACTAAAAATAAACATACCTCACATTGAAAGTATGAGTTCAAATATATATATATATCGTGGAATGTTTTACATTATGTTCTTTTACCTTTACGGTATAATATATTCTAGTGGCCTATTGTTTGTGAATTTTAGTTTCAAGTAAAATTGATTTCATTTTCTGCTTCGATTTGAAAAAAACTAAACCATATATTTATTTGGCAGTGTTATATTAAATGTAGTTTTTTATTCAGAAATTATTAATATTATTCAAACAATATACACTATTAAGTCAAGTAAACTTGATTCACATAAAGATTAATCGTTAGAGTATGAAATATTTGTAAATTAAAATAGTAATTTGATAATCAACTTTTTTAGCATATATAGTTGGGCATGGATTTTTTCAAAATATTTTTTAAATTTTCACATGTGAGCTTCGGATAACAGTTTGTTTGAATTATTTTCGTTGTTATTACAGTTGTCAAATATCTATTAAATGACGCTCCGAGGCAGAAAATGGATTTCCATGGTCTGTGGATACTCAGCTGATTCCTAATTTCGTCAACCATATATTTGCTGTACATTTGTGGTATAATATTATTTTTAGTAATCAAAATACTGTAAGTAAAGGATTTTCTCATGCCGGATCTAAGGGTCATAAAATTGATCGTTTTCCGGACAAGGAGTTTTATCGTTTCAACAATTAACATCATACGGCTCTAACAAACGATTGGTCTGAATCGGTACAGTTGAAGTAATTTGAACAACCCTAAAATACACTACATAATATAGCGTTAATATACCACTCGCGTCCCCAGGACTTGGTCGTAAAATTACTAAAAATCATATATATAAGGGGAATAAATGTGTGTCGGCATAATGGCATTCTGCGTGGTCGTCTGAAACCAGTTAGATTATTAATTAGTAGTGGAAATAACAAAAAAAAAAAAAAAGAATAAACACGTTCTTTAGTTTAAACAACGAAATGCTGTTTAATTTATTGTTATGTGTTCTAGTTGTAGTAAATTACTTTGTTATGTTGAAAGATCTTGATTAGGTTAAATTGGTTCACTCATCTTTCTATTAGACATTCCTGGACGTAATTTTTCTAGTATTAAGGTTAAATATCATATCATCCCGTCACTTACGGGTTCTCGATATCTAGTGAACACATCAGTGTTTTCTTGAAAAAACAAAGGTGTGCTTATTTGCATGCAGCACACGTTATAGCCACGTGAACACGAGACAGCTGTCCTGTTATTAAACAGATTTTTTAAAATAATAATTTGGCCAAGTTAATGAAGTGTCAAAATCGTGTGAAATGTGTAATATTTACTAGCAAACGTATGCATAATAAATGTAATCGCTGTAAAGCGAATGATATTTCTTCGTGGACAAATGACATGTTTACGGTGATAAAATATTGTCAACGTTATTTGCATTGTACTATATTTATAAGGAGAAGCATTCAGTTGTGGCGCTGCTATTATTTTATCGAACAATCACTTTTGATAATTTTATAGCGGTTGGTAAATTGTTCGTGGCACACGTGTTTGGATGGCAAAAACCGTTTTCGTACATTGTATTCTACAGGCTGGTGTCCCTGTCGGCCATCCCGTACAATTACCAACCCTACGCCGTACGAATCGTTTTTGAATATTCTCCCGCACTCGCCGCCAAGTGTATACACACAGCTGCATGCTCGCGGCGGAACGCGACGGGGTGTCGGCTATAAATTACCGTGAAGCCACCAAGGTAGATATTTCCGAAATGTGTTCATTGTTCGTCTCACACGGGGTAAGTTTAATCGTTTTTCGGAGTGGTGGCAGTGTTAGACTAGCGGTTCACGGCATTTAGTATAGAGAAATCCACCTAAAGCCGCTGCGAGGACTGAGCGCATACGACCTCTTTCGGTGCGAATAATANCTGCGAGGACTGAGCGCATACGACCTCTTTCGGTGCGAATCTCGGTCATTGTCGTGGGCAGCGACGTGTTTTGGTTTCAATTCTTACAGGGCACAATTGAACGGTACCTGGGGGTCTGTGCATACAATATAACGATAATAATAGCAATAATAATACCACCACATAAAATCAACCACACAAGAACATCGCCCCAAAAGTATCGACAGAAAAGTGCGCAGGTATAAACATTCAAGAATTTGTGACAAATTTTTGAAATATTTTTTGACGCCTGTTGTTTGTTATTCCATAGACGACTGTCAATCTAATTTTTAACACGACAATAATCTGATTATAATCGCAAGTTCGTTATAAAATATTCAGTGTTTGATTGCAACAAGGCAGATGATGGGACTATTTCATTTTATTTGTTGAATTAGTAGTTTTAGAGACTCCCACGCGGAAAAAAAAATACGGTTTTAATGGTACAAACGATTTATATAGTAACAACTGTAATTAAGACAGTTGGAATAACTGAATATTCGGATAACCCAACTATTTATTTAGTTATTCCCACTGTTTTTACTAAAATTGTCACTGTATTGACAATTAATTTTTTTGGTGTATGAAAACGTGATGTGTTTTAAAAAATACAATTCAGAAAATGTTAGGTTTACATGCGGGATAAGGTGTGACAATGACATATGTTTGTATGATGTAGCCGTTATTTCAATTTTTTATTTTATAGAATGGTTATCTTGTATTTACTCAATCATACTTTCGTTTCAGTATTTATGCGGGTCATAGAGTATTACCCTTCATTAATTCTGTAACAATATTATTTTAAAAGATACTTCTGTAGAAAAATATCAACGAGCTTAGTCGAGGGTTTTAATGTTTTTGCAGAGATAAGTTATGGCAAATATTACAATGTATTCACAGTCATATTAAATCATTGATTTTTTTTACAAATGATTATTAAAAATAATTTTTGTTTCATTAATATAAATTTCATAAGTTTTTATATAAATATTTTATTGGTGTTAAGTTACATAATAAGTTGTTTGAATTATTTCTTTGGATAAAAGTTAAATAACAATTAATATACCTGTGAAATTAACATTTGAATAATATATGTTTGTTGATTACGTATACTGTGCACGGTAAATATATAAAAATAAAAATTGAAAATATTTCTATTCGTTTTTAATAAAGTATTGAAGTAAATTTACTAAGTTGTATTATATAGGCAATATCGCCAACTTTTTGTAATTTATGCTAAAAACGTCGTCTATGATATTCAATAATAATTGGTATCCTGCATGCTCGAGATTAACCATATAAATTAATTAAATTTTATTTTAGTACTTTGTTGATTATTCCATAAGTTATTAACTTTAAAACTAATGTAATAAATAATTTTTCATTGATAGATTTAAACACTTAAAATGCTCTGTTTTTCTATAGTATAAATTATTGAACAAATGCGTACAAAAATTAAAAATCTAGTTCCTTTTTTCAATCTTTCAAAAGTATCTTTTGATAAGACACTGATTGATTAAACGAGGAAAAAAAGCGCCAAAGGGTTTTCGGTAATAACTAATCGGTGATAATTAATTGAAACGAGAAAATAAATTATGCCTTTAATATACACAGACCGGACGTTGAAACCTTTTCCATGTTCTGAAAATCAAAGCCGCACCCCCGTTTTTTTGAGGGGTCTCCTTGTACGCAAAATTGACGCTAGGTTTGAATATTGTTATGTTCACCCTCTCTCGACAAACACAAAACAACGCATATTTCACATCTCGTATTCGTCCATTGTTTAATTTATTCGGTACTAAGAGGGAAAAATAATGACGTTCAATAATAATAATATTCGGCCGTTTGCTTTAGTACATACGCTGCAGACGTTTACACTTAAAAAGTTTTACCATTTTTATGTTATTATTATCATCATCATCATACGGTGTGACGGCGTATAGTGCGTATTTAATTGGCAGTGTGTGTGTGTATGTGTTCATTGTCGATGGGGTGAGAATATAATACTGTGGAAGGCGATGTATGCGGATAGTTCGTTGCACATCAGTGCAGCACGGCAGATGCACAGCCTTGTATGAAGCGACGATCATTGCACCATGCAGACTAAAATCCCTCAGTCGCCATGTGGTCTCAAAAAATGTATAAAATAATAAAAATATAATAACTAACCACGCCAGACAATATTATTTTTTATCCATCAGTTTTTCTTCAAAACAAGTTTGCCGGGTATAATAACATTGCACATTTATCACCCTAAATTGAGTACTTATTATTTTGCGGTTAATCCAGGCGTATAAGACCACTTCTAAAACATATTTGAAAAACATTATCGATATTGGCAATAATATTTTCCACATAATTATCAATGATGTCTAATTCAATTGTGTTTAATTTTTTTAGAAAAATATACTATTTCGATAAACTATACCGTAAATTTATTAATTCTTACAACATAGTAACCCCTACTTTTGTACATTTTTTCTTAAGAGTCCAACCTTTATAATTGAAATAAAATATTATAGAAAAATATCATATTATTAAGCAACGAAGAAAGTTAATAGACTCTTATTGGTTAATAAAATAATATTTTTGCTCGATCATCTTATTTCAGTAGACGTATCTAACGATCTGTCTGAGGTTAAAAATATTTGATCTTTTATACCTTTAATTTAATACTCTGTTACACACCATTGATTTTAATATCGTTTATCAACTATCATGACATTTATCTTTATCTAAATCAGAATTAAAGGTTTCAGAATATATCAATTAAATAACCTGAAATTTTGAAAACAGTGAGTCATACATTGAGAAACTACAGTGCACAATTTCAAATACAAATTAATATCTTACATGAACATTATCTGTATATTTCGCAATAAATACTTTTTAAAATGTATGTACTCTTTTAATTTATGAATACAGAACATATTAAAAATATAAAAAAAAAGGTCTACTTCATTAAAATTAACACGACTTTATTATTTGTAATATAAAATAGTAACATTGTAAGAGTTACTTAGAAAATTAATAATAATGACAAAAAATGTAATTTATGATAACATTGTTTAAGAAATAGGAAGGGATATTAAAGACTGAACCAGTTGACCACCAAATGTTTCTAGACGCATTATTTTTCGGTTGTTCGGTATTATCCACGCGATGGCGGTATGGCCTCTGGCAAAAAAGACAAACCCCATAAATCTATTTTATGTAATATTTTGGCGTTGTCGGCCGTTTAAGTCTCCGCGGGTATTAAAAACCGTTTAAATTGTTTAACGTTTAAAGGAAATACTAAAATGAAAAAATCATCTCGTGTACATTTATACATTACTGTTACAAAAAAAAAAAAATAAGAAAATGATTACATGCTCATTAATAACAGTATCCAGACGCTTGTTTTCACATCAATGGCTCGTAAGTTGTTTGTGTAAGCACATGCTATGTACTTATACCGTTGCGCGGTACTGTTCTTTTAGGTTTTCTTTATTATTTTTTTATAAATAATTCACATAGAATTTAAATACAATTTTGAGAATATATATTTATACACAAAATAAGGATTATAAATAATTGAAATAAAATAAAACGACACATTTATAGTAATTTAATGATATTATATAATATAATTAAGGGGGTTATGTAGGGTGTTCAGCAAGTAAGGAAACAAATTTCTATTGTTTTCATGGATTCTAACAAACTGTTTCCTTACTTATTGAACACTCTATATATTATGAAACTTCTTCTAAGTCAATATTTTTATGGTTTAATACAAGATACAACTTAAATAATAAACAATGTTATTAAGATCCGCAGATTCTTATACTTATAAATATTTATTGGAATTCATAAATATTATTTGTAAAACTGATCGGATTAAAAAAACTAGATTCATTAAAAAAATATAATTTTACACCCTTTAAAAGTATAAAAGATGAATATAAAAATACTTCATGATTGAAAAAAATTATGTTTCTAAAAGAAAAAGAAAAACGCTCAATATATTTTTAATTAAATGGTTCATGGTAAATGAATAACATGCATAGTTTATTTATGTAGGTAAAAAAAAAATCTATCATTTAATAATGAAAAAATATCATTTTTTTGTGAAATATAAAAATATAAATATGTACATTTTATATGATATACAGTATAGTTATAATACATCCGTTATTAAAACTTAATTTAGTATACAATGTAATATACAATAAAGTTGGCATCAGTAAATTTTTATCATTTCAGTAAATATTATGCTAGCAAAAAAGTTGTATGTGTATTGAAACATTCTTTCTAAATTTAAAAAAATATGACTTATTACATTACATTAAGTGTTTTATTACATATTATTGTCTATATTCGTACTGAGGTAAGTAATTAAGTGTAATATTATCTTAAATTATACATTCATTTGTATTTTTGGACAGAATTCATGGATAGTTCTTCATCCCATACAACATGATTTTCGTATAACTTCTTTGAAAGGAGAATTTATCAATAAATCGATTGGAGAATTAAAAGTTGATTATAATCAATATTACGATAAGCAGTATGTAAATGTTTACATAAAAACGTATACAAAAATAACTCCATGCAATGTATGTTATCTTTTATATTAAATAATTATATACACTATATTATAGTTTTTTTATGTCAATTAATACAAATTATTTGTAGTTAAAAATTTGTGTTTTAGGCTATAATAGAACTTATAAAATGTAAAGAACATTTTTTAGACTGTAAACATTTAAAAACTTTAACTTGGAATAATTTTTGCGAATATATGGAATTTGGAATGTCTTTAATAAAAATAGGCTCAAAAAATCGTGAAATAAAATGTCCTATTATGGTAAGAAATTTTATTTCACATATTATTCATATATTTAATATATAGAGAGATTTGTTTAATATTAATCACTCGATTTTTTTTTTAATGATACTAATAACGATCATTTATTCATCCTATTATTTCCCGAACTTAACATGCTTCAGATATTGATAGCCCTGGAGGGCTATGTTAGGGAGTCAAAAATGGTTCATAGCTAGGTGAATTATGGATGGGATGGGTATTATAGTTGGCATACATCGGATATCAGACTTCATCAATGAGAAAATCATAAGAAATACTTGGTTTGCACTTTGAGGATTAAACCCGAGACCCCTTGCATCGAAACACTCGTTTCTACCCACTAGATCTTTATTTCTCTTACAATAATATTTGTACGTTTCTTGATTAATTAAATATTAATTTTTTTTAATTCATCCCTTATAAAAGCGTCAACTTAATGTGTTTTAAAAATAGCACACACGTTATCTAGCTTATAAAATAAAAAAAGGGTCTAATTAAGAAAATAACTGATCGTTAACAACTTTTTACCTATTATTTCGGAAGTTATAATCATTTTAAAATATATAGGGCAGGTAAAGTGTTGGTTATGTTGATTTTCTTGATAGTTTTACCTCTTTCTCCTCCACTCTTTATCTAAAAATGTAAATAACTTCCTGTACACTAGTTCAAAAATATTGATCAGTTATTTTCTTAATTAAATTATTTTATAAACTAGTTAGCTATGTATGTTGACATCTTTATAAAATATGAGGAATGAAATAAAAAGTAATCAATAACAGATAAATCAAGAAATATATGGAACTAAAAAATGCTAATAATTATTTTTTTACACAATTATTATTATATGAGAAATCCAGTAGCTAATTTAAAAAAATAACCTAGCATAAATTATATATTCAATATATATTACAACGGGTATACGGAAAAAACAATAAATACAACATTTTTTTGTAATCTGAAAAAATCGAATTTTAAGTTTCAAAATGCCATGTTATTATTCGTGCTAATAATTTCAAATAACCTACTTTTTCCATAAGTTCACTGACTTGAAAAATGTATTATAATATATTAAATATTTTGTCACCAAAATCCTAAATTTGAATCGTCTTGTTTCCTCTGTGTAACTTTTATACATATTATACATTCTTAATTTTTAAAATAACAAATTTAGCCATTATAAATTTCAACATTAGTATAAACTAAATTAAAGAATTCTTTGAACTCTTAAAAATTATTCATATATTTAAGATGAAAAAGTGCAAGTGAACTATACTATTATATGGTTATTGTGTTATGTGTAGGGAGAATATGTTTTAAAAAATATTACTTATGATCCTACAACAGCAATTCCATTTTTTTTTGCACCAACTGAAAAATGGTGGGAATATACGTATAAGCTCAATTTAATTGCTTATGGCTGTTTGAGTAATAAGCTGATGACATTTTACTGTGAAGTATACATTTTGACTTACCGGCTAAAAAGAAAACTTGAATAAATTTTATCAGTAAATAATATATAATAGATAAATTATTATTATTAGGCAAACAAAATGCTTTTATATGTTTTGTTCATAGTTAAGCTTATAATAGTTTACTAATGGTTGTAACCAAGAAATTACAATTTTTTTTATTTCTAATCGATTATTGTAATCATACTTACTAATAATAAATGTTTGTTATTAACAAAGATAGTTATTTAAACTAAATTTAGCTAACACAATATATTATTTTTTTCTTTATTTTTATTTATTTTCTTATGTTAATTATTGAATGTTAAATATATGATTAAAATAAAAACAACTTAAAAAAACATTATAATTATTGAAACAAAGTTTCTTAACGGAAATTTGAATGTGTAATAAACAAAAAATAAAAGAAACTGTGCATCAGTCACAAGCAATTATTATATGAATTTATGTACGTGTGTGAAAAAATTAAGCTGGCTAAAAATATTTACACATTAAAATAGTTCTTGGAAATTTTTTTAAGTAAACAAATTGTAACCGTTTTGTCAAGTTATGTTATCAATTCTACTAAAGTGATAAAAAATAAAAATTGATTAAGTTTTATAAAAATGTGGAATTGTCCCAAAAATATATTATTTAAATATTCTTAATACTTATATATGTCTATTAAAACATAATATAGATTTTAAATTAAAAAAAAACAATTAAACATTTTTTAATTATTAATAAATTTTGAAATAAAGTAACAATATTAATTTAGGAATTTAGTCACTATGATTTACCTACATTAAAATGGTCCACTGATTTCATTACCTTCCTATATTGACTATGTAAACTTTGTTTGTTTTATAAATTCTACGACAGCATATCGTAGATTAAATAAATACATTTTTTAAGTTAAAAATTATTGAGATAATGTAATAATAAAACGATTAAATTTCAAAAACTCGTAAATACTATACACCATATGTTATCTATCTACTCGTGCTTTACTTTCGAAAGAATTTTCATAATACTAAAAAGTTGATTAATCAGATAATTTTTAAATTCCATAGGTCCATCGAGTTAACTAATACAAGTTTAGTTTTCTTGATATATTACCCGTCTAGACTATTGGGATATCTTTCATGGCCAATTAGTTGAAACAAGTAACACCTATGTCATGAAAAGAATAATATCATCGAATTAACATTTCATGATTAAAATTATTTTGAAAGTTGACATTATGTTTAAAAATTTTTCATAGGTGCTGTTATTAATGATATTATTAACTAGATAGAATAAGTTTTATCTAATATACGTTATTATTAATAAAAAAAATTTACCATATCGTGACAATATGACCTTATGGCTTCCCGTCGTCTCCTACCGGTCTGTTGGTGGTAATAGTTTAAGTAAAAGAATCGTTTAAGATTATGTCCCTGACCGCTTATGTAAGAGTTTTAGTAAAATTAGTTTTAGTAGTTCTAAGGGTACAATGGTACTGAATGCTGCGGCGATTTAAAAAATCGATAACGTGCAATTATGGATAATTAAATTGTGCGTCGTTATCAATAAACAGAATCTTTTATGTATACTATGTACGCTATACCTGCTGCTAACAGCATCAGACAGAAAGTAATAATCGTAATCGTAAAGGAACGGGTGCAGTGGTATGGTGGTGCCCGAACTGATTATAGTCCTCTTAATTACCAATAACGATGTCAACGAGCACCTTGTTATACTAGCGACTAACCTATTGCTGGTTAATTTATTGTAATACAACTACTCTGTACCATTATAATAGATAATGATATGTAATACTCAGAGACCATATTGTAAACATTGTTATCCGACAAGGTCCCGGACATTATAATAAAATGTGTGATCCTTTTGAAATGTTAATTATTATTAACGATTATAATTGGTCCACGTGTATTATTCTAATAATTAATGTATACCATATTGAAGGGATACTTGAATTACAAAATCCCGATAGCAGCTGTATTTTACAATATTGTAATAACTATTCGCATAATAGACATTACTAAAGTACCGCATACGAGTACTAAAGGTGACACTGTAAAGATTCGATACGATTGATGTATTTTTTCGTTCAAAGCAGAAATGTTGAGAATAAAAAATTACACGGTACAGTGGCACGCCGCAAAACTCGTGTTGAGTTGGGATCTCTTCAGTTTGAAGGTATCACGATAGGTACGGTTATTAAGAGTCCTTTGGAGACACATTGGCAACCGAACACAATAATTCGCGGCGTTTGGAGACATCTGCGCACTCTTCAATCGAAATTCTTCTACGAGTAGCACACTCCCGTGACCAATGACAGATTATCGGCAAAATTTCTAGTCCTTTTATTTTCTTAGATGGAGACATAGAATTTTTATTTTCACTTGACCTCCCAAGAGGTCCATGGCGAATCCGCCCAAGTACCGTTTTTTTGATTGCTGTCACATTTTATATATTAAAAAAAATATATATATACACATAGTTATTGGCGCACTTATACGTAATATTGTTGTACAGAAGTGTACGGGTAACGTGTATGTATACGCCCATTACGTGGTCATTTAAGTTTTCTTTGCAGACAATGCGCAATCCAACCAGCAAGGCACGAGGCTTCATTCAGAATTTATGGGCAACGACGTTTTACTACGTCCCCCACAAAATAATAAAATTATATTATGCCGCCGCTGTTTTTGTAAGGCAGGTAATGACTGTCGTAATAACTAGTAGCGGAGATATTTGCCAAATTATGAGCCTCTGGGGTCTACTGTATGAAGCTACGGTAGTCTTGGAATAATGAGACGTCTTTTGCAACGACAAATGAGAAAATGAGTACCTACGTCCTTGAAGTACACCATGTAATATCTGCAACAAAATCTGTCAATTTAATCTATAGAAAATTCACACAAAAACGCTACGGTCGTACAAGAATGTCTTAAAAAATGTATGCTACACTGAATCTGATATCAGGTTTCTCGATTAAAACATGATAGGTATTTTTAAAGTCATTATCAAAATAGAATCGTGTAGTATTGATTTCGGGTATTCGAAGATTTCAATGTCATGGATACAGCTCATATCATATTATAATTGGCAAGATCGATACAAACTTTTTACCGAGTAAATATCATCAATACGTTAGATGATTTTCACATGAATGGATGACTTACCTACTTGACTGTGTCTAAAAATAATTTAAAGGTAAGAATCCAAGTCGTAACAAGTCGTATTGCTATACATTTCATAGTATATAAGCCAATAAAACTATTTTTCTTTTAATGATTTAGAAGTATTTTAATTAGAATAGGTAATAAACCAAAAATTTTGTTTTATAACTCAACTATATTATTATTATAGAAACTTTTAAAAATTTAAGTATAAGTTTCTGCTTCGAAATCGACAATCTTGTAGTTATAGAGCCCAGACAGTATCATCATAAATTATGTTATATGTAGTGGACAAACTATTATACTTATAAAATAATTTATTGCCACCTTATAAGAAAATACTTGAACATAATAGATACACTATAATAGTACATTGGATATTTATAATGAATTGGGAAAGTTCGCATCGTTGGTAAGTAAGGATGGCCGGAATAGGACACAAAAATATATTTCCAAAACAGCAGTTGGGGTCTTATGAAATAACAGTATAGTATAGACAACAACTAACTGTGAATTTCAAACAAATAATTCAAAACAAACTGCTCTCTGTGTCGGTTTGTCTTATCAAACGACAGTTAATTAGAGCTACTGCCGTGAGTCTTCTAAATTGGTTTTGATTAAGTAATGCGTACAAAAATATTGTACGGGAACTTCCATTCACCAGTAGTTACAAGTTTGCTGCGCTTAGTAAAAATTAGTAAGGAACCCTTGTGGGAGGAGAACACGACGATACGGTGGCTGGTGTAACGCCCGACTCCCTGCGATAATTTAATTTTTTAGGCGAGAAACAAATTTTTAATTAACCTGCCAGTTTCTTTAGCGTCACAAATACCTATACCTTTATTACGAGTTCTTTGAAAGACACTGGAATTATAATTTTCTGAGGCTGTGTTTAAAATGAAAGCTAAGGTGTAGTATACAAAAGATGAGAACAACACTCGAACTAAATATGAAATTAAAATGTTCACAAAACACGTATGAATTCTCAAGTACATCACAAAATTCACCTTATTTTTCGTTTCGGTATGGAAATTTAATAATTGAATTTTACAAGGAAATGTAATATTTTAAAGAATTTTTCCGTTTTAATTTTAAACATCCACAATGGAGTAAACGAGTTAATAATATGTGACACGTGAATTTCAATGAAGTCTGCAAAGGCTTCTGTGTATACAAAGACTCTTCTTACATTGTGTTTCTACTCATTTTATGCTCTCAGTTTAAAGTTTAAATGTTGTCTTGTATACGACTACGATAAAAGTACTTCGAGGCGGTTGCAGTTTTACTCAAATTGTTAGTCTCTCGTTTGTAAGTGCGTACAATATACCACTGAAAGGCACAGCAGTAACAGTAAAACTTATAATGTTGTCTCTTTAAATTAAGCTTATGGCAATTAAGTTTGTTGCACGGGTTAATTAATCTCAATAAAATCCTATTCTTAAAAAGGTCTGATTAAATGGCTTTTTTTTGTTGCAAATGGTATACATTTTTATAGATATGTTATCCAAATAAAAATTCATTCCTTACCAAACATCATGTTATTATGATTATTACCTTGTTAGTCGTTCACCATTTTTACAAGTCACTGATGCCGCTATAATCGCAATGATAGCCGACCCGAGACACACTAAACATAATTTTTCTTTATCAATAAGCCGATCAGGCGTAAATATATACATATATAACGTCCTATACCTCGATAGAATTTAACCTTAGTCATCAAATCGGCTTAAGTCAAATGCGTGATAAGTTAAGAAAAATTAAATTGAAAAAGCATTAAAATATTATATACTTTACATTCCCAGTCAGTGAAATTTTTCATTTTATTTTCACTGTCAATATTTGGTTGTTTTTGTTGAAATATTTAAGAAAAAAACGGTGTAATTTAAACTTAATGGTAATTTTTACTTGTTATTAATATTATTATTTATAGTTTAGTGTCCAATTGAATTTTTAGATACTACTCATTTACATGTATTATTTATTACAACACAAATTTATTTATAAAAATGTGTGAAAATGAATGCCAGAAAAATCGAATAATAAAAATAACTGTCAGTAAATACAATTAGTTTTATTATATTTCCAGTTTA